GGGCCCCCGGCCCTGAGAACTGAGCACGCTGCTCAGGGAGGGTGGCGGGCCGCGCGGAAAGCTTTTCATTTTTATCTTTTGCATACAGTGCAAATTCAAGAAAAGAGTGTACAGTGAGCAGCGAGGCTTCCTCCACATCTTCCCCCCACCCACAGGGTCGGAGGCAACCTCGGCGAGCAGCTAGCTTCCAGGACACTGAACATCTGCAAGACTGCGCTCTACGGGGTTCCTCGGGACACGTTTCATTCATTTATTTGCGGTACTGGGGAGTGAACCCGGGATCTGCGCACAGAGCCACATCCCCAGCCCTTTTTATTTCTTGTTTTGAGAGATAGTCTTGCTGAGTTACTACATTGTTCAGGCTGGGCTCCTCCTGTCTCAGCCTCCCAAAGTGCTGGAATTGCAGGCCACCGACTAAAGTTTCACTTTTATTCCCCAGAGGTGTTCAGGGATGAGAAAGCTCCCGCCAGGACAGTGGAGAAGCAGTGACAGTCAAGGAACACACCTCCAATGACCCACCCGTCCAGCTCAGCAGCACGTCAGCTCCAAGGGATGGTGCCTTTGCCTGTGCGCTCCAGGTGTGGCCACCTGCACTGTCTTCAAACTTCCAAATCTGTCCCACACCGGCGGGCGGCAGGATCGCCTCTCTGTGTAGGGCCTCTGGAGGTGCAGACATCTGCTCCTCCCCTCCTTCCTGCCTGCTGAGGTGGCTCCCACAAAGAGCAGGAAACAGTCATTTTTTTCTAATCTCCCATCTCTGCGTTTAATCTTTCTCCCTGAAGGAGCGCAGCTGAGCCCAGCTGCATCAGAACCGATTTCCTTGGAGGATTGGCAGGTGTGTTGCTCGGTTTCAAAAGTGTGAAGAATTTGGCTGCCTAACCCTTTTGTTTCATTTGAGATCTGGTCTTCCCTGGAATTTTTTGGATTTGATTTTTCTCAGTGCTGGGGATCAAACCCAGAGCCTTGCACATGCGAGGCAAATCCTCTACCTCAGCTGCATCCTTAAACCCTCTAGTTTTGTTTTTTCTTCAGTACTGGGGATTGAACTCTGGACCTTGTACTTGCAAGGCAGGTGTGGTACCACTGAGCTAAATCCCCGGCCCTAATTTTTCCATTTTGAAACGTATTCTGGGCTGGGGATTTAGCTCAGTGGTTCCACTGCCTGCCTTGCAAGCACAAGGTCCCAACTTCGATCTCCAGTACCAAAAATAAATGATAAACAAATAAATAAATAAATAAAAACCTATATCCTGGGATATTTTTTAGGATTTATTTTCCAGTGTGAGTTTTGTTTATTTCTGCCATCTTGTGAATTTCTTTGCACTTTTTTTTTTCATGTTTTGTTGAATGTAAACTTTATGACTCCCTTACCCCCCCCTTTTTTTTTTTGGTGCCAGGAACTAAACCCGGGGTGCATGCTGGGCAAGTGCTTGACCATTGAGCTACATCCTGAACCCTTCCTCTCCCTCTAGAAAAAAAATTCAGTGGACCCTCAAGTTACGACCAGCCTGACATACAAACAACTTGGATTAATTAGGATAATGGAAGATTCATCGGCCTCTTATTATCTATAGCACACACCCAGGTAAACATTCAGATCTCAGGTATCTTGACTTACAACCAGCCCTCAAGAATCAAGTTTGTAAGTCAAGAGTCCCCTGTATTTTAAAATTTTGAGATGGGGTCTCACTAAATAGCCTAGGCTGGCCTTGAACTTGTGATCTTCCTCTCTCAGCCTCTCAAGCAGCTGGGATTACAGGCATGTGGCACCACCCTGGGCTTAAGCTTTCTTCTGGACAGCAGGCAGAGCACAGTGGATCTGGTATAGTTGAGAAAGGCTGGCCCCGCACTCACTATGGAGGCCAGCTGGCTTTGAATGTTCCAGGATTACAGGGGTGTGTGCTACCACGCCTGGCTCTCTCCAGCTTTTAGCAGTGTCCTATTACGTACCAGGCACCGTTCCAGTGCTCACAAAATAAGGATTCATTATCAAACATCTGTTTTGTGCCTACTCTGTGCCAGAGCTTGTTTTGGAGGTGAGGGTTAAGTATGAATGATACACAAAAGATTCTCGCTCTCAGAGAGAGCTTGCGCTGTAACATAGGAAACAGCCAGTAAAGCCAGGCACGCTGGTGCATGACTGTATTGCCAGTTACGTGGAAGGCTGGGGTAGGAGGGAGGACTCGGGCCTGAGGCCACAGGAGAATTCCAAGCACAATGGAAAGGCCATTAGAGAACATTCAGTGGGGAGGTGACTTGGCCTATCTGCACTTTTATGGCGATCAGTCTAGTTGCCTTGTGGAAAATACACTGGCAAAAGAGAAGAAACAGCTGTGGTGGCGCACGCCTGTGATCCCAGCACTTTGGGAGGCTGAGGTATGAGGATTGTGGTGAGTTTGAGGGCAGCCTGAATTACAGAGCAAGGCTCCAACTCAAAAAAAAAGCTGAGCCGGGGATTTAGCTCAGTGGTTCTGGCACCTGCCTCACAAGGACCTGAGTTTGATCCCTGGTACCAAAAACAAACAAACAAACAAAAAGCTGAACAGAGCCTACCCAGTCCAATCCCTCGACTTGCAGAGAAGGCAAGCTATGGTAAGGAGGCTAAGAACCACTCAGGTTTGGACTAGAGAACCAAAAGGACCATGTTTTTAATGGCTTGGTCCCCAATCAGTGTTCCTGGGAGTGATGGAACTATTAAGAGACAGGGCCCAATGAGAGGGCGCTGTGTCGTCAGTCTTGGCCTGAAGAGGGCGGAGGCACTTGGCCTTCCTTGCTGTCCTCCCTCCCTGGTCATTAGCTCAGCTGCTCCACCGTGCACTGGAACCATGGACTGCACCCCCAAGACCGAGAGCCTCAATATGCCTGTTTACATCTCTAATCCTCAAGTTATTGTGTTCTAGTGACAGAAAGCTGACTACACAATAACTTCATCCAAGCCGGGTTGGTGGTGCACACCTGTAATCCCAGCACTCGGGAGGCTGAGGCAGGAGGATTGCTGTGAGTTCCAGACCAGCCTGGGCTACAAAGTGAGTTCCAGGTCATTCTCAACTACATAGTGAGACCCTGTCTCAAAAAACCAAAAAAAAAAAAAAGAAAGAAAGAAGAACTTTATCCAGTTTCCCCAAAAGGTAGCGGTTTTCATTCTGGTAATGCTGTAACGTACATGCAAGTGGCCTCAGGATTTTGTTAATTATACATCCTGATTCAATTTGGTCTGAACTAGAACCTCAGGGCGCTTACCCTCCCCAGTCCTGGGGATTGAACTCAGGGCCTTCTAACATCCCCACCTATTTTTTTTTTCCATTTTGAGACAGCCTCCCTAAATCTCTAAATTACTCAGGCTGGATTTGCAATCCTCCCGCCTCAGCCTCCCAGTGTTCTGGGATTAGAGGCATGCACCACCACACCTGGCTAATACTTACTGTGTTCCAGAAGGAAATACATGGTCAGGTTCCTGTGAACCTCTGGTCATACATATTTATCAACCAGTCAATATATGACCTTGCATCATGTATTTCTGTTTAAAGAAACCTCATGTAATCTGGCTGACAGTTTCAATCCATGGCTGATCAGAGCTCATCTGCTGCACGTACTTCTTCCATAAGGCAGATCACTATCTCTTGTGCTGATGGGCTCTGGATAGCACACAGCACATTGGGGTGGCTGGGCTTTGCTTTTTTTTTTTTTTGGTTCTGGGGATTGAACTTGGGTCCTTGTGCTTGCAAGGCAGGCCACTGAACCGCTGAGCTAAATCCCCGGCCCTGGGCTTTGTTGATATTTGGGTTTTGAGACAGGAACTCACTGTGTAGCTCAGGCTGGCCTTGAACTCATAATCCTCGTCTTGCCTCAGCCTCCCAGGCTGCTGGGATTATAGATATGCTCATCATGCCTGGCTATATTTTTTTAGTTTTTTTAAACAGGAGGGACAAGTCAGAAGTGCAGAACAACAAAAAGAAACAGAGAACCGGAATATGCTCACAGACTAGGAGAAACAGAGGTGGCCTGAGAGACACAGGAAGGGGCACTTGGCGGCATGGCCACCTGCCCAGCGTGCGGCCCTTACCTGAAGCTGATAGGCCAGGTCGGCCTGTGCACGGCGGGTGTTGACCTCGATGTCATACGCAGCCTTCTTCAGCTCGTAGTCCCTCTGTGCTTTGGCCATTTCAATCTCACTCAGGTACTGAGCAGAGACCTTTTCCTGCTTGGCCTTGGCCTCCTATCCGAGCAGAGTTTGGGCAGGAAGTCAGGACAGAGAGGAAGCCAACAGGGGGCCGCTGAGCCTGCTCCCCTTGCCTTCACCCCTTCCGGGCTCCTCTATTTCCCAGCCCACTCAGCTCGACCAGCCCAGCCCAGCTGTGCCTTTCCGTCCCCTCCCCATAGGCCAGTGCACCTGTGATCACCAAGTGAGCCCATCTGTCTCACCCGTATCCCAGCATCTCTCTTGGCCTCAGCTTCCCCAATGCGAGCATCTTTCTGGACTTGCGCTGTTCGAGCTTTCCCCAAAGAGTGCAAGTAGTCCTGCGGGGAAGGAGCAGAAGGCAGAGTCCTGCAGGTTGAAGAGGTGGGAGCCTGCAGCAGGGACAGGCCAGTGGCCTGGCCTCACCTGGTCATCGTGAATGTCCTTCAGAGTGTAGCTCACCACGCTGATGCCCATGTTGACCAGGTCGGAGGAGGCCACTTTGAAGACCTGCTCTGAGAACTTCTGCCTGTCCTTGTAGATCTCCTGGGACACCAGGGAAGCGGGGAGAAGGCTCTCAGCTCTCAGCTCCACTGACTCTTACTTACGGGCTACACCCTGCGGGCAGCCCATCCCGATCCTTCCCCAGGACCCACCTCCACGGTCATGTGCGCCATGATGGCCCTCTGGTGGCCCTCCAGCGTCTCCAGGGCAATGTGGGCGATCTCCGCCTCTGTCTTCCCCAGGAACATCTGGCAGGCAGCTGCCAACATCTCCTTGTTCTGCCCCTGAATCTTTACCTGCAGGCGGGGTAGAGGCCGGGAGCACCCGGTGAGGTCTCAGGAAGCCCAGGAACGACCGGGGCCCTCGAAGAGCAGCTTCTCTCAGAGAGAGGAAGGAGGAGCCACCAGCCCAGGTGGGCGCAGGACACCGGGGAGGGCGGGAGGGTCCTGGGCCTCACCTGGGCGATGCCCGTGACCGAGATGGGCACCCCGTGGCGGGTGTAGACCTTCTCGCTCTTGACGTTGAGGGTCAGGGTGTTGAGAGAGATCCTAGGAAAACAGGAGCAGCCGGTGAGGAACGG